TGTGGAATGAAGGATGGGAATGAAAATCATCTGCTGAATAAAGAAACTCTGAAAACGATGCTGGAGACGAGTTTGTTTGACTGAAATGCAGCGACTCCGACTGACGCGCAGCAGTTTGTGTGACCTCCGTGTGCTCGTCCACACGCCTGATCCTGGAGGATCTCCTCCCACATCTGGGAGCTCTGGGTTGTCGTCTTAGGGGAAATACTGGTTTGCTGCCAGTGTCTCAGCCTCCCAGTAGACGCACTGATGGTATAAATCTGATGGTGTTTTTCAGATACACTGACTCCCGACCTCGAGGTCAAGGTCACTGGCAGGAGCCAATATGAAGGCGATATGATCAGAGAGCACAAACGCTGCAGCTGTGTTCAGTGACAGACTCACACTTGTGTCTGCAGTTTGTTTTGTTAAACACAAACACACAACAGCAGCAGTGCTGCCACGTGTGCACAGAGAGCACCAGTGTGTTTGTTTGGTCAATGAGAGGCTTCAGTTAACAGTGCAACGCAATTTTTGTAAACAAACTAACAGGACAAATATCTGTGTTTGTTTTCTTGTTTGTTTTGAGCTCAGCTCATTTAGTGTGAGAGCTGCTGTAGATGGATCGTTTCTAAATATTTGGAAAAGTCACGTAAAACAGTCTCTACATGATTTAGCTGGAAACAGAAAAAGAGCGGGGAAGGTTTCAGCAAAGCAAACCTCACATCCACTAAGAGCAGACGATACCCATGATTTACTGAGAACCTCAGAGACTCGTGGCTCTAACCACAGCTGATCACACCGTCTATAAACTTTCCTATTTGCCTCCAACCTTTGAGTAAATCTGTTTTAAAGGTGCACTTCAGCTTAGAGTCAGTATTTTCCACAGTCACAGAGCTCCACAACAAGAACAACATGTAGCTCTGGATTTGTGTTAGCTAGTTAGCGAGTTAGCGCTCCACTGGAGCCGAAGCGACCAACGTTCTGTGCAGCGAGTTAAATAATCAGGACGATGAAACACCGAGATCAATGCAAAGCTCCAGGCCAGAGTTATCATCGGTGGGCGTCACCATCACATTTACAGTTCTGAGTGAACTGAGTTCAGTTTTGGTTATATTGAGGTTAATAATGTAATAATAATAATGATAATGTATATTTTATTGATCCCGTGGGGAAACTCCTCTTTGAAGCCGTGGGCAGCCATTGGGTGCCGGGGAGCAGTGTGTAGGGACGCTACCTTTGCTCAGGGGTCCCTCAGCTGTTCAGGGGAATCGAACCCCGACCTCCCGATCATGGGGCCACCACGGAGCCATCCCTGCCTGGTTCAACTGTTTACCGATGTTTGAGTTTTTGTTATTTACGAGGGAGGCATTTGTCACATGTAAGATTTAAGAGGTTCAGAGGCCTACAGAGACCCCCCCACAGCGCACTCTTACCAGCCTCGCCTGGTCCAGGCACAGACCGACCACCGCCCCCCCACTGCCGGGTAACTTCACTGCCGATCCAAACTGCAAGAACCAGCGCAGACTTTAAGACACACAAACACAGCCTGATGCAGCAGGTCTTTAAACTCCACCCACCTGCCTCGCCAGCTCAACCATCTTGAGGTTCCCGGGGCCGAGACAGTCGTCGGTGTAAACGGACCTGTGGGACAGAGCGCCGACGTTAGCTCTGAATGCAGCGAGTGCAGAACACGTCTCAAATCAAAACGTGTCGTTTACCGGCGCAGCTCAAAGTTCTGGTCCATCAGTTGAACCAGGCGGCGCCAGTCTTTGTCCCGGAAAGCCGTCCTGAGGGAGGAAGTCACGTGACACCAAACTTCATATTAGAACGCTGTGAACGCCACACACTGGCATGTTTGTGCCGGCAGCGGTGGAGGAAATAAAGCCTCAAGACGTGGCACAGCCAGACCACGAACGTCCACACATGACACACTGAGGAGTGGATCACCATGGCAACCGCTCTGACCCCTGATTGTGCCGGTTTTCATCTTCATGCTGTGAGTGTTTGGCTACGAACA